ACCGCCGAACACCCCCGCGGAGCGCCACGCCGCCGCACTGCTGAACACCCCCGCCCTGCTGCCCAACACCCCCACCCCCCGTGGAGCGCCGCGCCGCCAAAACCCCCACCGAGCACCGCGCCGCCGAACACCTCCGCCCCCCGCGCAGCGCTGCACTGCTGAAGCCCCTCTCCTCCCCGCGCGGAGCACCATCAAACACCCCCCCGCTGAACGCCGCGCCGCCAAACACTTCCCGCCGAGCGCCGCGCTGCCGGAATCCCTCCCCGCCGCTGAGTGCCTCGCCGCGTTGCTCCCCGCCACCCCAGGATTGACCGCCCCTTACCAGGTGCCGCCCCAAGCACATGCTTGGTTGCCTGGTGCCTGGAGCCAGCCCTGCTGGCTTTACAATATCATACAAAGTTTCTGTTTTGCAATAATATGCTTTGGAAAATAGTAGCTATTATTTGCAACACTGATAGACTAATACACACATTGAAATGAATGGGACTATTTGAATGAGTAAGAGATGCAGGAGTATGTCCCTTTTTTGTGAAACCCTTTGGCAAATTTTGGGATGAAAGGTGTTGTATAAGTATCTGGTTTAATTGCATGAGTTAGTCCTGTTACAATGAGTAAGATTGCTCATGTGAGTAAAGCCACAGGATTAGCTCTTAATGTAAAATATTATTTAATATAAAATGGTAAATGTTCTCCATTAGTAAAATATTAAAAATGAAAGATACGTAAATTGCAAAACATACAGCAAAGATTTTGAAAATTAACATCTAATAATAAACAAAATAACCTTCAGAAACTGGTATACTATTGTGATTAAAAATATATTTCACTGCAGTCGGTAAGGAATATTAAGAGTTAATAGAGACATATTAAGCTTTCTGTTTCATGTGAAACATGGGATCATGTTAATATATCAGGCTGTGAAACTTCTGATGTTTGTTGTATTTTATTGCTGTGCTATATTACCTGTAATGGGTTGGAAAATGCTAATCACAATGTTTGCTTGTGGTAGAACATCAGTGTTATTAATAGTATGAATATTTGCATAGTTTTCTACTTCTATATTTTAATTACATTAAGTTTAATATAATAAAACAGACACAGAAGATAATCATTTAAATGACATGATTTTTATGGAATATGTTCAATTTGGGAGCTTTATAAGGAATTCTTATGTGCTTGACTGTATTCATCCTGATATTTCCACTTGTGGCAAATCTCCAATTATTCCTATAAACAGACACTATTCAGGAAGCCATCTATTGCTTCTGAGGGATTACAAATACTCGTATGGAATCCTGACCATGATCAGTTACCTGCACTGAGGGTTATTTAGAATAAAGCACCTGAAGAGTTGCTGGGTGAATGTTCCTTTTTCTCCAGCTTCTCTAGCCTGTGGGAAAACACCCTCACTGGTGTTTTAATTAAGTGTCATTATCCTAGAAAGTTTCTACAGGATGAGAGACATATTTCAACTTTGGAGAGACTGGGCGATAGAATGATATGTCCTGTTTTCACCAGGTGTGAAGGTGCCAGGACTATAAGATTTATAAGATAGGAGTTTGATCTGTTTGTACTTTTTAGTTTGGATTGTGGTTTTGGTGACCTTGTCAAGGAAAACACAGCTACCGATTTGGCACAGTTACTTCTTAATATTAAGTAAACAGAAAATACTCTTCCCGCATTTTGGCCCAGGTGTGCAGACTTTGAGTCTTTGAAATCTTACACGTATATGATTAAGAAAAAAAGGAGTAGGAAAAATAAATGAAGGAGAAGATGGACATTGATAGGTACAGAGCAAAAGAGATGAGTAGGAAAAAAGGGGGAAAGGAAAGAGGGGAGAAAATGGAGAGGAGCAAGTGGAGCAAGGCTGGCAGTAGAGAGTTTAGGAAGGAGAGAGGCAGGAGGAAAGAAGTTTGCCGAACAACCAGTCTTCAGAGTTTAAATTATGAAAAGCAGTCTAATCACATCATTGGTGTACTGGGACTGTGAAGGCCTTGAGGGGGAGGTCCAGTTTTTTTTCTGTCCTGCTGCTGCTGAAGTGGTCTCCGCTGTTCCTAGATTTAATCCCTGGAAAGTCCAGTTTTGCTTCTTCTATACTATATAGCTGGTCGAGGGAGAGAGAAGAGAGGCTTCTGAAGCTTGATAAGCCTGAGAGGGCTTTTCCTAAAGGGAAGCTCTCCATCTCTGGAGGCTTGGGAGGGAGGGAAGGTGGGCCTCAGCTTCTCCTTTTCCCATTCCTGCTGTTGCTGAGGAAGAGCCTGCTGCTCCTGGGGCCTGGCCCAGTCCTCCCTGGTGAGTCAGAAATAGTTGGCCACTAATTCTATGTTCTTTATTTTCTTGGTGCCCAACTTGAGACACCTGGAGTCTGATTTGCAAAAGTGCTGAGCACTCACAGCTGCAACTGATGTCAATAGGAGCTGTGTTTTGAACATATAAAAAGTAAAGCGCTCAGAAAAATCCTGCCGTAGGCATATCAGGTTTGCTGCCCAAAATTAGTGGATGCTTGACAATTTTAGCCTTAATCTCATGTGCCTCAGATCCATACCCATAAAATGGTGATACGGAATGCCACTTTACCTCACAGGGGTGTTGTAAAGATAAATTAATTACTGTTCTCCTTGGGACTCAGTTTGTCCACGTTACTAGAGCAAATTAACAAATAGGTCATGGTTCAAAGTCACTGTGATGATTAATGCCATTGAAAAACCCATAAGGAAACTAATAATTCTGTATTCAATGCATTGTTTAAATGGTGTGTGCCAAATAAGCCCATGGGGCCACACACTGAATGATAAAAGGACAGAAGGATAAAAAGATATATTGAATAGCTACCCGTTCAGTAAACACCATCCATCTTGCGAACTGAACGCGGCAGTGGTCCTGTGGAAAAAATATTAAGTGATCATGTAATTAAAGGCTGTATCATAATGCATGTGCACGCACTTGAATTCATTTAGGCATTTCCCAATTTTTGAGTTTTTGGCTTTGCAACCTGAAATACATACATACAGCACCAAT